GATTTATTTTGTTTACAGATTCAAGTCTGGAAAGAACAAATGGTTCTTCCAGAAGTTAAGGTTCTAGTTGACATTGTGTAAGATTTATCATTTTATTGGATAATAAAAAAAAAAAATCTTCATCAATGTGTTATTATTTAATAAATTAAACCTCATTTTATGATACTGAGTGATAATGTATGATATCTCATTAGATTAAGTTTTACTAAGAAAATATGAAYAAAAGCACTACTTGTTCAACTTTGTATCGAAACTTATAATTATTGTGTAATACACACATGACACTTCTAGTAATCCATTWAAAAAAAAAAGTCAAACAGAATGTAGTATTAAAATTTTGAACTTTCATCTATTATATAATTGATATCGATAATCTAATGCAGCGGTTCTCAACCTGTGGTACGTGGAAAGCTCATAGGTGGTACATGAAGAAAATCTGCCTTTATAACAAATTAATTTATTAACAAAATTCTATACATATAACTTAAACGTTTACATTAATTAATTTACATTAACAACGTTAACCAAAAAAAAATGGTCAGGTGGTACGTAAACATTTTCAAATTGTGTAGGTGGTACGTGACTAAAAAGGTTGAGAACCGCTGATCTAATGGATAGTGTCGTGCTTTGTTTTAAACAGAACTCTAACAGCAGCCTCTTCAGCTTTTGGGARAGAACTGTAGCAGTTAGTTTCATTATAATTATTGACTATTTATGGTTTAGGTGCTGTATTAAATCCCTATTCTCAGAAACTATGTAGAGATATTTTTTGTTTTATCAATATTTTGACCTGTTCTGTATCATCTACCTCTTGCATTTAAATACATCATTAACTTTTAGTGYTTGTGAACAAAATGCAACAGGTCAATAAATTTTTATGTAAAATTACAGCTTAATATTCTCAACAAATTTAATTTAATTATTTGTCACCAAAYATAATGAGACTGCCACTGCCTGTAATCGATATTACTTTCTARTTATTTTTTACAGCGCCTATTAAATATATGGAATACCAAGGTTTCTAAAAAAATATATGATGTTGGCTAGAGAATATTATGATCAATTGGCAATTTTGTTTTAGGCAATATATTAAAAGGACAACAGTTTTTTATACAACTATCATCGATAAAATTTCTCATTGCATGATAACATGAACTACTAAGCATTTATCTATTTTATGACCAGTACTACAAGCATACTCATTTGTTTAATTACTAAATTAATATATTCAATAGCAATTCAAGAGTGCTACTAGATGCATCCAAATGATCGAGCTTTGGTTGTAGCATTAGGTATTGTAATATGTATATTCGATGTTAAGTATTGTGATTCAATGTTTTAACGTTATCCATCAATAAATAATAGCAACAGAGGAGTAGTATTGTGCAAACAGATCCTCCTCTGCTGTCAGTTCTAACCAGGAAAAAAAATGGAGCTTGTCCTACGAGTTATCCAGCGAGTGCGAACGAATTCTATTCTGATTTCTGACCATGCTGTTCTGCCGCAGTGCGGTGCGTCTGATGCAGCAAATACTAGCTGTTTTGTTTTCACCGGACTCACGTAGGACACGGCGTTACAGTTTTGTACCCCAATTTCTCCCATTTTACCACCTAGTTGATGGTGGTATCGGTGATGGAAGAAGTGGCGGCCAGCGTTTCAGAAGGGCTAATGGTAGGAACACACAAGTTTTGGTCGCTGCCTTGAAGCACTCTCTCAGCGGCTGTGGTATATCTCAGCTAACACTGCTCCTCATGTTTATATAGTTATATGCATAATTAAAACTACATAGAAATAATAAAAATGTTTATGAAACAAACTATGTAACATTGCTTAAGACGATTTTCATAATTTCTAAGCAATGTTTTGTAATAAACAATACATAAGTGAAAGGGGCTAGGTAATATTCTTAGAAATATATAAGTTGTCATTCTAATGTGTAATAGTATTACACACATATTTCATATTCTAGACCAGCGGTTTTCAACCTGTGGTATACGTACCACTTGTGGTACGCAGAGAGCTCATAGGTGGTACGCGAAGAAAATCTTCCTTTATAAAAAAAAATTGGTACAAATTATTATTAAGAGGACGTGATACCCGCATGTGTTGTCTCCGTCTTACAAATGCGTAACATGGTACATTTTTCGCTCAGCAGAACACGTGTAGCTCCGT